CTACTACTGCTGCTACTGCTACTAGGTATCATTATTCCTCTTATTATTATTGTTCTTGTTGCTGCCCTTGGCATTATTGGTCGTGTTTATGCTATGAACCGTTTCAATGACAAGCCGGAGGCCGCTTCAAGGGTGGATGCCACGAAGGACGGCGCAGCGCGTAAGATCTGGAGAGAGGGCTTAGGCCTCAGCGCGACATCACGAAAGTTCCTTAAAGGAAGCCTAGCATAGTACCCTTATATAGGCATTCGTAAAGGGACCTATGTGCGTCATCAAAGGATCGTCCCATTCAGCCGAGTCCTGCTTTGCGACCGTTTTCAGCAGATGCTTCATTGTACTAGTACATGCAGCATTAGTGAAGCCTCGAGACCGGGCGCAACCAATTTGTTCCACGCTCAGTACAGACACACACACACACATATATATATATATGATGCACCGATGAATTAACTGGAAAAATAAGTCTGTCACTTCCGATAGCACCGTTCCACTCCGACTACTCAGCGACTACTGTACGAGAGTAGCCTGATAGATTATGGATGCATTTGCCCAGTTGCGACCCTACCACCAGTCTAGGAAACCAAAGCAGGAGCACAGGCTCATCATCACCGCGCCGAACCTCCCATGGATAGGCCCAGGCGCTTCGGCAGAATCGAAACAGTGATGCGCCCCGTTCTCACTCAAGCCCTGCGAGGGGGGATGTTTCGATGCTTCTGAGGACCGCTTGGTGTTTGTATTCGGGGCAGCATGACCACAGTCGCAAACGGCCGCATCTTCAATCTGAAAGTCGGCAAGGCTCGATCTTTCTGGCCGAGGGTTTGCGGTTTAGGCATGGTTGTGCTTTTGGCGTTTTCAGTGCAAACCCCTGTTCGGCATGACCGCGTGCATCCGTGAGTTGACCGAACGAAACGGTGCCAGAGAGAAACTAAGAATGAGGTTGGCGACCACGAGAACGTTCACAGAACGACAAAAGAAGCGAGAAAGAGAGAGAGAGAGAGAGAGAGAGAGAGAGCGAGAGCGAGCGAGCCTGAGAGAGAAAATAGCTGCAAAAGAAACAGCGGTAGACAAAACCGAACCAGCAAACAGAATGCAAAAACACGTGAACAGTATGCAAGAGAGACAAGTGGTAGATGAAGAGCAAACGCGTTACGAACAGAAGACACGCACAACGAAACTCAAAGACGAACATAAAGGCGGAGAGGAAGAAGTTCACACGACAGGAAGGAAAAAATTGTGAGTAACAGCGAGATGAAACTAATTATAGATAAGGATACCACAAGAAGGGAGCTAAGAACGGGAAACGGAGATCAAGCGAATGTGCATCGTGCAAGCATACATGGTGCAGAAACTAAGCCTGTATGGATCTACGTTTAGCCGGTGCATACATCCAGCACACGCTCTAAGCCAAGCGTCAAACCGCCCTACTGGTAGCAAACGCTACCTAGCAGAATCCCTTCCGCACATACAAACCCCCTTACAAATGATCTTTTCCAAAGCCTCTATGAATCGTTGTGAACTTCAAGGAGGAAACCCATACCCTTAAAACTTAAAACGCTAAGGTCGTAGCTCCCAGAACAGTCCGCAAGAATCTCCACTTGAGAAGCCGGTTTAAAGCCTCGTTATATTCCCGTCGCGGAACCCGCTGCATGAATCCTGAGAGGAACTTTCTAGTGACTTAACTCTTCCGTCAGAACTTAGAGCATAGCATTTCCTATACAACAATCAAACCCCGTTTTGCATGGATTGGTGTCATGTTGAATAAGAGGGATGCTGACCACCCTGCCAAGTGTTGTTATCGGGTTCGTAAACGCTGACGATAATGGCTTTCTTGAACTGCTTGTCAGATTCTCCGTATACACGCTTTCAAGACGTTCCTGCTACGGCCGATGTGGGAGACCAAGCCGAAACAACGCTGCACAAGACCACGTGCAATCCAGTACATGTCTGTTGATGTTGTTTAGTGGTTGTTGTTGCTGAGCACAACGTCTGCTAGCAGAAGCACATGGATTCCCGGATCGAAACCGCCACAAAACGCTGCTCTCGGGTCCAGAGCTCGGGAAGAAACCTTTGGCAGTGAAAAGGCTCGTCTCCCTTCACCACGTCCATGCAATTCAAACTTCGCATGCCTGTTTTAAAGTAAGAAACACAGGAAGAAGGAGTCGTTTGAAGCCGCCCGGACAGAGTCTCCGCGGCAGCTTCGGAAATGGCAGCTTTCCGAGCCTGACTGCCGCAAGGCTTCACGCGAGCACAGTCCAGGCAAACCAGCCCCAGGAGCCACTACCGGCTAGCTTTTTTTTAGAACAGGCGACTAGCAGCTGTAGGAAATGGAGAAGCGGTCTCGGGTGTCCTGCTCGTTCTCTTCCTGTGTCGACCTCTGCGCACCCATGTCAGAGGCTGCCGATGCTGCGGTGGTTGCTTTCGACGGCTTGGAGACGGAGTGCATGGCCGTGCGCTTGCATGCTGCTTGTGCGAAAGATGCATTCGTTCGGCTCTGTTGGGATTCGATGGATGTGCAGCTTACCGGTACAGAAGTGGTTTGAGCGGTGGGAGATGTGGTCTAGCAAGAAAGGCAGTGCCCTGTGTCTCAAAACGACTGACCCTCCTTGCATCTTTGAGTCTCGATCACTTTGCTGCTACCCGAGGAAGACCGGGAGTTCGGATTCGAAGTTGCGCACCGAAAGATGGAGCCAGGCCAGCTCTCGTTGGGAGCTGCAAAATGTGCAAGGCGAATCTGTGATGAAGGTATCAGGCAGGTAGGCCTGTAGATTCTTCACAACCGACAACGTGGAGCTTACACCGTGAGTCTTTCAATCATTGCAGACAGAAGCCGGAGGCTCGGGCGTGATTCTGTGGGACTGCGACAGGACTCCGGGAATTGCGGGAGGTTAGTAGCCAGTAGCGATCAGGGTGTTCAGTGGTGTTGAGCCCTTTGAAGCCCGAATTTTGGAACAGGCTTCAGGCGCGCGGTCAGAGGGATTGTGGGGGCGGCGAGGGGCAAAATCGGCACAAGGGCAGCTGAGTAGCTGAGTGTTTGATGCTCGGTTAGATGCTGTCGAAGCAATAAGTGGTGTTCGATGAGGTATGCTGGCCATGGCAGTTGTACTCTTCGGTGTTCCTTGGGTCCAGCTCTGAAAGAAGGATTCGAGACCCTTAAAGGGTCCCTTATAGGATCCCTTAAAGGATCCCTCGAAGATATGGTTTCAGGAAGGAGTCTTCAAGAGGAGATCGCCTGGACTTGCCGACCTGCCAGCCCTCCCCGAATCCGTGGCCCCGAAATCAGAGGTTTTTTTCGCCCTAAATCCCTGTGTGTTTTCATAAAAGCAACCTATGAAGTTGAAGACGAAGATATTCTAAATGTAGAGGATCAGAACAATCATACAACTATCTTCGATAGTTTCCAGGGCCATTACATATATTTTTCATAGATGTACATCCTGCACACGCAGTTGTACACACACACACACATATACAACAAGATGCACATTGTTTCTGGAGGCCTCTCCAAGTAGCCTGCATTCTCCACCCCGTCCTGTCCCTCTTTCCTGTGTCCCTCTCCCCGAAAATTGCAAACATAGCAACGAGTTAATTACCAAAGATATCTCGAAGCTTCTCCAAAGATCCTCTTCTTGTTCCGCCCCTGCCAAGCACTTAATTTCAAGAGAATCGGTAAGGCCGAAAGGCGCACATCGCAGTTGTGTTTCTCAAGGCCTCCCCACATGTTCATGTGATGGGCGGCTACCTCTTAAAGTCAAGTTTTGATTTGCTCGTCTTTTCGTCACCCTGCCCAGAACCACTTGTAGCCGAGGCTGCTAAGCAGTTTCCCTTTGTTAGCTCCACAGAACTGGAGTGCAGACTGCAGGAAGCACCGCGCGGTCCAGTTCGCTTTTGGAGCAGATCGATCTCTGTGCCCATTTGGCTTTGCTGGGGTGGCAATTGGCATCAAACCCAATATGGACAGGTTGGAGTTAGCATCCCGCACGGACTTCAGCGGTGTTTGTTTCTATCAGCCCCTCTATGCCGCCATGCCATCGGTTGCTTCGTTGCCTTTTGCTTAGGTTCGGTCCGATGACCCCATGCGCCTCAGATTTCAGACGCAAGAGGCCAGACCGAGTCAGACCTACAGACTTCAAGGTCCGGATGCATATAAGGGGTTTAGGGTTTAGGGGTTTAGGGTTTAGGGGTTTAGGGTCATACAGCTCGATTCCGTGCTCAATAAAAAGGGGTTTAGGGTTTAGGGGTATAAGGGTATGCCGGAGGACATAGGTACAGCGGTTTCCCTCAAGTGTGCACAGAAGCTGTCTTCTTCATCTTGACCTGAGACTGATTCGAAGTGCTTTTATCCGCCGTCTCGTTGCCAAGCCCCACGGCCTGCACGCTTCGAGAGCCGCCGGCAAAAATGGGAAAAGAACCTAAGGACAAATAAGGTTGCATCGAGGTTCCAAACGAGCGATCAAACAAAACAAAAACCCTAAATGAGAACCATCCGCGGCTGCCCAACACGAGTATGAGTATGCGACTCGAAATAAAAACCTAGGCCCTGAACCCTTCAACCCTAAATCCCGAAAGCCCTAAACCCTGGCAGCGTTGCTTCCTTTCACATAGGAGGAGGAGGCCACCGCGAAGCTGCTGCGCGAGGAAGCGGCGGCGGCAAAGGCTGCTTTAGCAGCGCTCGAGGCACGGAAAACGCAACAAGCGGTCATCATCAGGGTTTCAGTTGGGGTAGTTATTTAAGGGATACTGTAATGTAAGAACCTGATTTAAGAAACCCTGGCCCTAGAACCCCAATATATGAGGATTCATATCAAGAACCCTAATGAAGACCTAGGGTTTCTTAATCAGGCTCCTATATAAACCAGTGTGCAAAAAGGAGCTCTTATTCGGGTTACAGCAAGGGTTGGATAGAGAGTTCTGTGCTTACGACTTTGGGTACCAGCGGCACGGCCAGTGTCGCTCTCAGCCGAAAGCCCTATCTGCTTGGAAAGCAAATAAATACAAGTATCATTCCTGTAAAGGCCCGGAAAATTGAAAGTGTCATTCCTGTAAAGTGCCCGAGGTCCGAACTGGTCCTGAGAGTACAGTATCAAATAATTTAAGAAGGAAGGTGTTCAGCTTTTCTTCTCATGAACAGAGCACCCCAAGCATTTTTTGGCTTCAGCAAACCCGAAGCTCGAAAGCCCTGAACTCCAACTCCTTGAGCTGCCGCCGGGTCTGCAGAAGGAAGACCTTTGCAAGTTTTGAAAAGTCTGAAGCCACGACGTACGAGTTCCGGACAATAGGCGGCCCAAAAATGAAGCCCTCAATAGGGGGTTCCTTATTGATCTGTAAGGACCGCTAAATAAACAAAGTCCCGCCCGATTCTCTGAAACCTGCATGGGATAGCACGATGTTAGGGCTTTAAGCCTTTCGGGCTTTATCGCGTGTAGGGCTTGGGGGGTTCAGGGATTTGGATTCTGATCCGACGATGGTAGTTGTTCGCTGGCGCAGGATGCTGCACTTGCTCGCTGCAACACGGAGATGTTCGAGCGACTGCGTCCCTTCATCACAATTGCAGTGAGCCGCAACGTTCAGCGTCAGATCGGATGTTTGCAGGGCGAGAATTCAAGAACAAGTAAACTGCGAAGATGGGTTTAAGTGATGTGGCAAGGACTAAAGCGTGGCTTAGGGTTCTTTTCAGAGGCCTTGATGGCTTCGTGCACATTCCCAACGTTGTGCCGCGCGAGCTTGTCCTTGCTGCGAGGACCGTACCCTGTTTTGCCGTCTTCGGGTTGAACGGAAGCGCGTGGAGACAATGATGCCAGTTTCAAGTTAGGCTCTTGTTGCATTGTTGCAGCTTTGCCTGAACCTCAAGTTCATGATTGCTCGTCGTTCAACTGCTCGGAGGCGACTGTGCTGAGCAGAGAGTGCATCATTGCTCGGTTCGCTGTTTGCGTCACGGAGACGATGCAAAAACTGCTTGTGAACTCTGCGGTGATTGCTGTCCCGGCCTCCCCACCTGCGAGGAAGGAAATCAACCGGCAGCTGGGAACGGCAACGGGTGGGACCGATCAGTTCAAGGCGAGGCCTCGGCGTGAGAGCCACATCAGAGACGATAAGGTATTGTATTTATATGTATGTTTATATTCTTCTATATTGCATAGCAGACATAGAAAGTATGCGGTTCGCGATGGATGTATACACATATACATTTGCTTTATACATATTGTCTTGAATCACTTGCAGCGTTTCTTGCGTTCCGTGTGTAAAGCGACTGAAGCTTGCACCGCTCCAGGCAAAGACCTTCCCCAGGAGGCCCGAGACGCATGGCTATTGAAGAGCACCGGGTTGCATGCAGCACGCCCAGGGCCGAAAGTGGCTCTGATTCACCGCACCTTTCTGCATTTTGCATAGATGTTGGGTATGTCGGAAGTGGAGTCCTGCACAGTTGCCCCTGCCACTCTCAATGCATTGCTGCTGCAGCTAGCATTCATGTAATTCTTCGTATGTGCTGCACAACTCCGCAGCCTTTGCGGACCTCTTGTGGGAGCGTTTTGAATAGATTCCGGAGCTTTTCGCAGGGTGGGAACGGCCTGGAACTTCGAACGAGGTGCTTGTGCTATTCCCAAAGGGTCAAGCATATTGTACACAGATTTCCGGCAGGGGAAATCTCATTCACCCCAGCCAAGAGCTCCTTTCGAGTTTGAAGCTCGGGGGTGTTTTGGATCTTTGTGTCTAGGGCCTAGGGCGGAGGCTCACAACACACGCAGGGTGGCGAGACTGAAGATGCCAAATGCCGAGTTGGGACAACGATTCCGGAACGAACCGCTTTAGGCCGTTCCATAATTGGCACATCTTCCCAAAACTTTGTGGTTGCAGATTTTGTTAGCTGGGCATCTGAAGCAGCTCCCGGTAGTCGAGCTGAGCCAAGGATCACAAACCTTGTGAACTCCTCCGGCCTTCCGATCATCCTTCGGCGGCTGCTAGGCAGGGGGCCGCAGAAGTTGGGTTCTATAAGGGTTCCGTTAAAGGAGTCTATTAGGGTCCCTAATTATAGGGTTTAGGGTTTAGGGAAGTTGGGTTCTGCAATGTCCGGACTCCTTGCTTCAGAATAAGGACAGGGGCCTTAACTATTTTGACTGAGGTTGGTTGTTTCCTTTGGCTTGCCATAGTTATGCAGGCACTGTAAGGGGATAGTACTGCTTATTCTTCAGACCTCTACCCATGGTGTTCCGGTGCAGAGGAAGGCAGGAAGTAATTACACATATATACATGTATATACATCTCTCTCTCTCTCTCTGTCTCTTTCCCTCTCTCCCCTTTTCTCGCAGTGTTTATATATGTAAAATAACAGTAGCAGTTATTTCTAGTAACATTGTTAAAGCAAGACCAATTAGAACCAATGCCACCACACCACACATCTTTTTAGCCTCGGAGCCAATTTGACCGTTCGCATACGAATTTGACAACATTCAATCAACAGGCTTAGTGTTGCTCCAGAATGTTGAAGACGTTTTTTTCGGACCATGCACATACCTCCCTAAACCCTATAAACCCTAAACCCTCTGCCCACCAACCTTTCTCCAATTCCGCCTGCACATGACCGTTTAGGCCCGCGCGACAGCGGTCCCTACCGAGTGAAGTCCGGCCAAATTGCCTTGCGTTTCCCTGGCGATGCTCAGCTTTGCTACGCTTCCTTTTTGCGGTTAGGGTTTAGGGGTTTAGGGTTTAGGGGTTTTGGATAGGGCGTGTAGGGTCTTATGAGGGGCGGGTGGGTTTTGCTATGTTGGGGTGTGGTTGTCCAGCTGCATTACACAGCGGCGGTTCCGGGGTGTGCTCCGATTTTGTTTCAAGTGCAGCAGTCATGGAACAGGGTTGCCCTTTGGCTTTTGACTTGTTCTCCGGTGCGCCCTGCTGTTGCAGGACATGTGCATCAAGGACAGCGTGGAGAGCGATTTTCAAAACTTCGAGCGCATCCGTCAAGGTTGGCATATAGATGGAAGCTCGTCCCAAAGCTCAGCGGCCAAGATGGCAGACAGGCTGCAGGTTTCGAGCGTGTTTCTCGGAGGTTCAGGACTTTCCAAGTCTCTGATCTGCTAGGCACAAGCCTTAATTCCCTCTATGTCAACATGGATTTCAGGAACGCCTTCGAGCTTCATTCCCGGTGTGACGGACCACTGGGGAAAGATCACCAACTTCGATGCCTTGGTGGGCGTGTTGCTCAGCGACACTGATGCGAACATGAGCGGTGAGCTCTGCTGCCGCTGAGCAATTTGAGAGCATAGCCGTTTCTTCGTTCGTCTAAGTTTATTTTAAGGGCGCCCAACCCTAAAACCCTATAAACCTTGAAACCTTAAGCTCTATTAGCCCTTGAACTCTCTACTTCCACCTCTTCCCGCTTTCTTGCAGACGTCCAAAAATTAACCCGCCGACTTTCTGAGGCTACCCTGGCTCCCACATGGACTTAGCCGGATATTTCAAGCAGAACGGCCTGGACGACGTGGCAAACAAAGGCCAGTCAGTCTAGTGCAGAGGCTGTATCATTGTTTTTTGAAGCAATTTCTAATTCTACAAATACCCCGAAACCCTATTCAGATTCCTGCGATTATTAGCATGGTCCTGCCAGCATCTTGAACATGCTTGGCTTGCTGGCAGGTGCCGCGGGACTCCCCACGGGACAGAAAACAGACAGCGCAACTTGTCTCTAAGGTCTCAGTGATAAATGCTTGATTCCTGGGAAGAGTATGGTTTGCGCAATGTACGTTCGATCCACAAGTGCGTTGTACTGCAAGACTTGTCCACTGTTGAACACGCAAGCGGCACGTAAGTGCGACTGAGAAATCCATGAAAATGTTGCAGACCGGGATTGCGACGGTATTGCAAGCTAGCAGCTGTACCACAGCAAATAGCATGCACGGGCATCAGTTGCTTATGGTGGATTAAAGAAGCCGTTGCAAGAGGCCCGCAGGCAGCCAAGTCCTGTTCAGGTGTTGCGGAAGCCGCTGATCCACTGCAATGGGAAAGCTGGCGATGCACCTCGACTCTCTCGTATAAGGAAGCAGCTTCAGCACCGGTTGCTCGTACAATGCACCCAGGTCTACAACTGCCGTAGCTGTGCCGAAGTGTCTAACAGTCTGTTCTTCCTGCACCCAGCGCCGACAGTGCAGTTCTTTGCAGGTCTTCCTGGCCAACTACATGGTGGCCCATTTCATTGCCCCAAATACGTCCCAAGACATCCGCTATGCCGTGTACTTCCGTATCCGTGGGCCCTCCTTCGATCTGGATCCTCTCAACAAGGACTGACAAAAGTGACCGAAGGGCCCAGGGTTTAGGGTCAACGCGGTGACAAAACAGTGGCCATGCACATGTGGAACAAGTCCAGATTCGTCTTTTGCCAGGTTTCTCTGAAACGGCTTCTTGGGAGGGATCTCAAGTTTGAACATCTAGAGTCGATGATGCACGCATCTATTGGCTTTGCGTGATACCCACGGAGGAGAGCATGCTGGATCCGCTGATGAACTGGAGTCTGGATGGGCCGCAGCCGCCAAAGAAGCCGTCTGCCAAGCCTTCGTTGACGCTTAGCGAAGCATTACAGGTCTTGATTGTGGAACGGCTCCGCTTCGGTGTCACCGAGCGACCAGGGAAGCGTAGAGCCTAGTTTTCAGAAGTGGTTCAGCAGGGGCGGCGTTGCGAATCGCTTGGCTCGCTCAGATTCAGATTGGGAGTTATCCCGCAGCTTGGAGCAAGTTTCCCGAAAGCTGCAAAGCCGTTCAGGAGACGTGCGGCCACCATCGAAGATGCTGAGCTCATGAACGAGGCCGGCTGGCGAAGTCCTGCGCCAACGAGAGCGGAAGCTGATCCTGAGTCTGCTATCTTCTTTCACAGTATCCGAGGTCTTGGACTACTATTCCGCAGCGAATAACGATCACACCGTGCCCACATGATATGACCAGTCCTTGAAATATAGCAGCAGCTGGGCAACGCCAAGCCGCTCTTCGTGCGAAAGATGAGAAAAGGATAGTACTTCTGCACCCGTTGAGCAAGCCTGCCAAGTAGCGTTGCGAGGTGTGGCACGATTGGGGGAAGCTTAGCTAGCTCTGCTCGACGCAGGCGATGCTTTTCAGATAATTTCTTGCCGAAAGGGCGGTTTGTAGCTTTCCGTCAGTGAGTCAGTAGGGCTGCAAACGCATCCTTCCGGCTTTGTGCTCATGAGTAAGATTGAGTCAATTTCGCGCATCGCACATCTCTGGCTTGGCTCGAGCTGTGCATCCCCCATATCGCATTATCTACCCTCCGAGGTGCGTAGAGAGCATACGAGATCTCTTCCACCCCAAGTAGAGCACCCCTCTGTGTTCTCTCAATGATTCTATCTCTCGACTAAAGGTTTTTCTGCTCTCATAAAACAACACCGAAAAATCATCTGGACGAGCCCTAGAGTCTTGTTTGACCTCAAGCCCAAACTCCCAAAAGCACAACCTTTGTGTATTCTGCGCTAAACCCTAAACCCAAAACCATACAAGTCCTAAGACTACAGCCTGAACCGTCACGGTCCCCCTAAACTCACTTCTTTCTCGCACTTGTTCCGAGGGTCGAGATGTGGGCCCGTGGGTGAGGCTTTGGGTTTGGTTGCGGGTTCCAGGATCTTCGATTCTTAAAAGTTGCGGTGTAAGGGTGTATAGAGCTGCAGCATACTTGGTTTAGAGTTTAGGAGTTTAGGGGTTTAGGGTTTTAAAGTTTTGGGGTCTAGGTAGACCTTAAAGCCCCCCTGGCAGGCTTTCTTCGGCTCTTCCCCCCGCTGCAGATCGGCTGCCCCAGCGTGTGTCGCAGCGGGCAGTTTAAGGGGCATGGCTGCCGGTCCTGCCGCCCATCCCCGACATCCAGGATTGGGGATCTAATGACCCAATCTTTGCAGGGAACATCTACACTGACTGCCGCACCTCCCGACCCTCGTGGCATGCAGGGACCGTGGGCAACAAGTGCATGCAGGGTGTGCGAGCAAGATAAATGATAGCGGCATTGAGTTGACAGTAGCCACAATGACAAGAATTAACAGTACTAGCAACAGCGATGAAGGCTAGCAGGAGCAAGAGCAGTAGTAGTAGAAGAGAACGGACCCCATGCTCAAGATTCGGAAGGCATTTGCCAACCGGCGCATTGAAGTGCATAAATCACGCAGAGCGTGCTCGACAGTTTTGCAGCTGTGCTGCTTCGTTACATAGCTGCCCTTTCAGGAAGGTATTGGGCATATAGTTTAGAGATTTGGTGTTGAGGCACGCTCTTGTGTGGCATCAGGTCAACTACAGTACAGAAGTACAGAATATTGACGGTAGAGAAGTATAGTAAAATTCCGTGGATGCGCACGAGGGAGGTCCTTGAAAAGACTGGCCTGAAGCCTGGCATGTGTCGCAAAAAACAGGCTGAAGGTGAACATGGTGGCAGAGCTGCCCGGCAACGTGTTTCTGGCCGACAAAGCAGTGTTTCTGTAAAATCCGGAAATTGCTGGCAGGGGGCTGCAAAACAGCCTGTCTTCGACTCAGGTCGTCTCACCGGGTCTCTTGCCTCAGCTGTCATCGCTTGTCAGATGGCCAATTGATTGTAATGCCGCCGTTGGGCTCTTGCTGGAGTTACCTGCGATGCGCTCAGCGATTGCGGCAATGGGGCATGCCAGAATGAGACAGCGCTGAAGGCTTGCGATTGCTTGTTTGCGCTGCTTTAGTTGATTCCATGACTGCTCTTCGGGGACTTAGTGTGTGAATGGATGTGGCTTGGCCTCCTTTTCCTAGGCGAAGGTAGACGCCGTCGAGCCGTCAGACAGGGCGGGGTTACTACTGTTGCTTCGGAGTCCTTTGTTTCCGCCTTCTCTCTGCATACTAGGTGACGCAGCAAAGCACATTGGGTACGCTTTCTCATACAATAACAAGCACCTAGGTATGTTTTCTAGTTTTCTAGGATGAGTGAATCAAGCGCCAAAGCCCGAATCTGTCAAACTCTGGCATAACCCAAGAGTGATGTCGCACGAGAACACCTGTACGAGTTTTACACGTCGTGCCGATCCAAGCCTGGAAGCACCTCGACTATCGCAACGATTGTAGCTTCGTCATTGCGACGAAGCCTCAGTTCAGAACTGGAAGCCCTTGCACCCAACAACCCAAGCCCAGCATTGTTAGTACTTGGATCCTGGTAACTGAGGGGCCTGGCTGAAGCCTTCATGGCCCCCGTTCATGACAGTTTCAAGCATTGCAAGTGCAAGCCGACTTAAACAAGGCGCCTCGTTCATGTGGCCACCTAGTGCAGATGATTCGCTTCAATTGTCCAGGCACCGGAGAGCTGCCCTCTCTAAGAGATGCTCAGCTGCAGTATCAGGAGTTGTCCCAGAAAGAAGACACCACAATGGGGTTGGTTCCCAGGTGGTCAAGTATGTTACACACGAGCCTGGGTTTCGTGGACTCGAAATCAGCAGGTTTCAGGATTACACAGACTGGCCCAGCCATTGCCCAGCAGACCCACAGTGCGTACATACAGGGCTTGATAATCTTAGGGGTTCAGGAGCAATTCAAGGAGATATGGCCTTATGCTATCAAACTGTCTATCTGGTTCAGACCAGAGCCGATCCTACTCCCTCTTCTACCTCTTTTGGTACAGTCATCCTTAGTCTTTCGGGGCGATTTCCGATGATGTTCGGCTTCTGAGCTCATCATCCTGAATGCAATTTTGCGCCACCGGCTTCTCTCCACCTTTTCGCAGGCTCTTCAGTTCGGAGGTTCATGATTCAGACATGGCAGGTTTATATTATCGTGCGGTTCACGGTTGTCATTTCAGCACCCGAAGAATATGCAGACCCAAAGATCCCAAAAGGCCACAGAAAAATCGACCGGAAAGCCTATAGCACCAACTCCTGCAGAGCTTTGTCCCAAACGTCATAAGCAGCAGCCTTGCGCGTATTTTTCTCTTCCGAATTCATAATCAAAAGTCTTCCTTACCAGCCAAGGATGGCAATCCTCCAGTCTGTCCTTCAGCTTGTGCTCAGCGTGTCGACGCTGCTGCTCGGCATTGCAGGGAAGTAACTGGCCACACGTGGCACCAGGAATGCGTTTACAGGGTTCATGTACTCGAAGGACCCGCTGTTTGGAAAACTCCATTGATATGAGAGTTTCTCAACATCAGGGGCCCCTTATCACAGGGACTACAGTTATAAACACCTCTCGAAGCGTGCACCTACACGAGTATCATCCCTGATTTGCTGCCACGTTCATCTACTGTCAGGGTTTCCTTCCTTCAAAGAGGTGGATGCTTCTTGACGACGCTAGAAGGTCTTCTTACCAATGAACCAATGTTTATTTGTGGCCTTCGGCCCCAAGGAAAACAGAAGAACGAAGCTGTTTGAGCACATCTACGCAGTCTTGGCTCACCACCCTGGAGCTCCGCAAGGGTTTAGGGTGTTTTCGGCGCGGGAGAATCGCCCAAGGCATGCCCAGGAATTGGCCATCGGCCACTTGGTCTGATGCAGAAACGTTGGGGAGACTGGCGGTGTTTTCTCCATGTAATCTGCTCGCATCTGCTCAGCTAGAGAAGTTCTAGACTTGCGATGACATGTTCCATGAAGATAGGCAGGATGCCAGACTGGCTGCGAAAGAGGATTAGCGGCGAATGATGGTCGGGCTCTGTTTACTGCTTCTACCAGCGATGGCTGCTCTTGCCTTGCAGCCATGCAAGCGCTCTCCTTGACATGTGGATACTTCCGTGAGGGCCTGAAATGTGAAACCCGAGCCCGGGATCCAACCGTAGTCACTTTGTCCACATCGTTGCTCACCAGAGATCTTTTTCGCCCTGAGCAGGCGCCTACGGGCCGGTCACGTCGCAGAGCCAGGCGTTCATTGCGGTGGTCGCCAGGGCCCCGAAGATCCTCCTTCTCGCATGTTTTTTCAGCTCCTCAAGGCATGCTCTTCCCTGCAAGATCTCTTTGACCTGCAGTGGTAACCCCTCTTTGGAGTTAGAGAATTCCGATATATGTGTATATAGGTTAAATGGAGCTTTCAAATATCCATAGATGATCAGGGGAGGGTTGCCACCCTGTATGAATCTAAAACAGCTGACATGAGTCCGACCTTCCGGACTTTGGCTTGCCCATGAGTCCCAAGCAACCGAAGCCAGGTAACGGCCTGTAAAGGTGCTAATGCAATCCTCCAGGCAAGCTTCGATTTCGACTTGCGCAAGAATTTTGAACCAGCTGTGGAAGCACGCTGCTGGGCTGTTTTTGGTGGGCCTGGGGGGGCTCAACGTAAGTGGCACCGGGTTTGGGTTGTGGCCTTCGGACCTTTAAATTGCTGGCTGGCTGCACCGAGGGGGGAAGTCACTCTTGCTTGATCGAGCTGATACATGTCTTCGTCTTTATGATATCCTATGTTCTATCTACTGCAGTCATCTAGAGTGAGTTGTCAAGGAAAGCAAGCAACTTGCAGCTGTTTGCTGCATGCCACCCTTTTTCGCGGCAAAGCTCCACCATATCACACCCTGGAATCGACATCGCCCTGTGACAAGCCGGAAGATTGCCCTTGGTCCGATGTTGCCCAGGTTTTGGACCTCCCATCATCTCCATTCCCGATTTGCAGCCTGACGAGGGAAGCACGCCAATCGTTTCTCGTGGAGTCGCAAAAACCAGGGACTGGAGACTTGCGAATTCGGATTTGCTTATCGGCGGCTCCTGTTGAGAGTTTGTTTCCTCCCGGGAGTAGCTGACTGCCGCAGAATGACCCTTGGACACAAGATTCCCTGGACCAAGCTCCTACTCTTCTGCTACGCCTGCTACGCCACTAAAACTAGGGATCCATTCCAACATAGTTTCTCACACACACACACACACCGCAGCACCTAATTCCGAGCTCACTTAAAAATGCCCAAGAACCTCCTAGCAAACCTCTCGAAGAGGTATATAGGGCTTGCCTCG